CAAAGCCCTTTGTCGGCAGCCCCAGTAAACCTCATTCCATGAGGAATAACGGGGCTGCCAACAAAGGGCTTTGATGTCGACAGGGGGAATGTCCAGACTAGCGCGCGAGCCAACAAACAGCTGATCAGCTGTTTGTTGGCTCAGCGCGGCAGCCATGTAAATGTAAATGAAGCCGCGATCATTTAAATCGCGGCTTCATTTGCCTTTGCTGATCTGTCTAATCTATATGCCTCTGCCAACAGAGGCATGTAGTCTAGACACAGCCTTACTGTTGACAGAACACCATGGTAGTGTAGATGCAGGTGTAGTTTTTTCGACAAAAGGTCACTTTTTTGTTGGCTCAGCGCGGCAGCCATGTAAATGTAAATGAAGCCGCGATCATTTAAATCGCGGCTTCATTTGCCTTTGCTGATCTGTCTAATCTATATGCCTCTGCCAACAGAGGCATGTAGTCTAGACACAGCCTTACTGTTGACAGAACACCATGGTAGTGTAGATGCAGGTGTAGTTTTTTCGACAAAAGGTCACTTTTGTCAAAAAATCCCTGCAGTCTAGACACACCCTCAGTGGAGAACCTGAGTTTTAGTCCCTACTCCACATACCTAACTCCAGAAGAGAGTTCACCACTATGGCTCGTGCATACAGAAAGGTGCCCAAATCCCACTCTGGGCAAGACTTAGGCCACACTTTGTCTTTTGCATTCCCCGCTGTCTGGCTTAGGAGTCTCCTTTCTCAACCTTCTGGCTTTTGTGAATCTGCTGGCTTTTGTGAACCCCAGTCTAAGGGGGTCTCTACATTTGCAGTAGGAGATTTGAAGCCCAGCTCCCATGGATGTACTCACGCTAGCTCTGCCCAGTCTAGGACTTAAAAGTAGCATTTGCATCAGCAGCACCAGCCATAGTTGGGGCTCGCCACCCAAGAGGTAGCTGGGGTCTGGCAGAGCTGTACACAGGGAAGCGAGTCTGAGTGAGTGGCCGTGCAGTGCTAACCAATGTTATGTGAACATTTGAAGGCATCACACTATTTTGAGCAAAGTGTGTGTGTGTGTGTGTGTGTTTCTCTCAGTTTTTAGAGTGTAGGAGTTTGTTTGTTTGTGTTTGTCCCAGGTCTTGAATGTGAGTTATACACATAGAATCCCATCAGTGTTCACTCTCTCTTTATTAATTTGTCATGCTGGCTTCTGCAGAGTATGATACCTTCATCTCTGCCACAGGGATGGTACAATTTCCTGTTTGTTGCATACTGTGAAAGGTATGCAGAGTCAAATTATTCACATATTACCAAATGAATCATAGAACTCTAGAACTGGAAGGGACCTCGAGAGGTAATTGAGTCCAGTCCCCTCCCCTCATGGCAGGACCCATTACTGTCTAGACCATCCCTATAGATGTCTATCCAACCTGCTTTTAAATATCTCCAATGATGGAGATTCCACAACCTCCCTAGGCAATTTATTCCAGTGTTTAACCACCATGACAGTTAGGAAGTTTTTCCTAATGTCCAACCTATCATCAAAAGACAAGGGAAAAAAATTTCTCCCTCCTCCTTGTGACACCCTTTTAGATACCTGAAAACTGCTATAATGTTCCTTCTCAGTCTCCTTTCCAAACTAAACAAGCCCAATTCTTTCAGAATGCATCATAGTGCTAGTCAAGTTAGATGTAAGCTTTTCTTTTTGTTCCAATTTTACAAAAAATCCAAAAATTCCTTCTGACTTTTCTTCACATTGGGGTAAAAATCCCCACCAAAATAGATTTTAAAAAATGATAAAAGAAATTTACAAATCTTTTATTTAAAAAAAAATAATAAGACACTATAATTTTAAATGTTAACTGGGAATTTCAATATTTTCTCTACCTTCGTGTTAGCTGTCTGGATAATATTTTGGTTGCATGAAATAAAACATGCAGCAGAACCATGACCAGAAGTTGTTAGTGATAGACAGAACTCAAAAACATCTCAGTCCATAAATAAACCTCTTTATGTGGCAAGTGGACTATAAACCTCCCAAGATTAAGGTTCCCAGTGAAACATCCAGAAGTTACTGATTTGGGCCAGAGGAAAATACTGCTGCCTTCTGTTTCAGTAACAGGAAGTGCATAATTCAGGAAGTGAGGCTATGTTTACAATTTCTCTTCAACCTTCCTCTGCAAATATTCATATAAAAGCTACAGTTTGAATCTTTTTGCCCATCCGTTGTTACCATTTTATGATTAATTTAATATAAACTGTGACAAAAAATCAAAAGAAGTAATTAAATGTATCAATTCAGATTATCCACATTCAAATACTGACAAAGAATGTAATGTATGGACATTATATGTAACTGGTTAATGGATTCTGATCCTCTGATCTGGGTTAAAATTATTTGCTTGATGCTTCTTTTCATTCATTCTGTCAGAGAAAGAACAAACACAAGAAAAATAATTTCATACCCCTAAATTTTTTGAAACAATACACACAAATCCCTCATGGGTTTCTTACAGGATCAGTGCACCAATCAAAGCACAACTCCCTAAAATTCAGAACAGATGATTTTATCCATCTTGGGAAACTCAATGGAAACAAACTCCAACAAACACAATTGCAGTTAACCCTGGACTGTTGTGACTCAGCTACTGTTCATGTTTAAAACTAATATTTTATAAGCAGTGGAACTTAAATGCAGCATGGAAAACCAGGCATCTATTTCAGACATAATACAGTGTTTTATCAGGAACCATGGTGGAGCTACAAGCAATGGAAAATGAAATTTTTGAAGCGGGATCTTCAAACCTGTTTCATCCTTTGACAACTTATCAGCTTCTTTCAGACAGCTCCCTTTAGATACATGCATGATTTATTTGCTTCAGTCCCTAATGATTTAAAGGAAGTGCCATTTTCTGACTTTAGAAGACATGGTATGTGAATTGTCACATTACTATAGGCATAATCCTATTATAGAAGGAAGATCAGCAGAACATAGGAGAACTAGAATGATAGAAGATAAAACAGATCTTTCCATCAATAGGGTGTTGACAGTATTTTGTACTGGAGGTTAGTTAGGTCATGGTAAAGATGTCATTAATCTATTGCAAGTATCAGAGGGGTAGTAGTGTTAGGATTTCTTTGCCCATGAAAGCTTATGCACAAATAATCTTTAAAGTGCATTGGAATCTTTACTGTTAATCTCTGTATGTCTGTACAGCAATGTAAGCTGAGGGTTAATGAGACTCAGATCAGTTGACTTGTGTCAGGGAACCCTCATCTTGAACATCTACATTGCATTTTAACCCAAGGTTAAGAATTTTTTGATCTGTGCTTTAACTTAGGGTTCTAGCATCCACACAGTGCATAGTTCCAAGTCAAAATAACCCTACTGCGGAACATCTAGTACCTCATTCCCTCTGCCCAGTGTCGACACTCTAGCCTTAGGAATATGGTGCACTGTTGGACAACTCTACCACCTATCCAGTCGCCAGTGAAGGTGCTAATGACTCTACTCAGGTGCCCATGCAGAGCACATATGCTGCCTAATTGGTCTCAAGAAAGTGATGGCAATTTGAGAACACTTTATACCAAACTACCATCTAATCTGAGATTTGGGCTCTTTGCCTCTAGACTGAGTCACGTTGGCATGTGCTCATATTTTGAGGATAATTACGACACCAGTCTCCAGGGCCAACATACTAGTAAAAGGAAATTTTTATTTGTAAAAGGGGATGTTCAATGAAGATGGGCGTCTTGACTATTTTCTTCTTAATTTTGTCTGTTTTGAAGTTAGAAGGGTTCAGAAGAAAGACTCAGAGATACCCCGCCCCCCTCCTACCCCCCGGCTCCTGATGGCTGCAGTGTTGAAGCACATCTCCAGGGCTTGTGGTGCAGGATGCTCCATGGGAATCTCTTATCCATGTCTCCACTGCAGGGGACAGGACAAGGGATCCCTGAGAGACTGGTGCAGGCTCCGACTCTCTGACCTGACAGCAGGGAGTGGCCAGAATGAAGGGAGCCACCCCTTCCCCAGCTGAGCTAAGCTGGGAGCTCTGCTTTCAAACAATGGCTGGCTGAGACCTTGCTTTACTCTTGGGCCTCCCTGGGTCTGTATGTGCCAGGACAGCTAGGAAGCGTGTGCAAAATCTGGCTGTGCTCTTGTGAACAGGAAGCAGCTCTCTGTGCAAAAAGCTGTTTCTGATCCCTCTCCCCTGCACACCCTGCAG